TGCGATTTCGCCCTTCGCCACACCGTACCCGCAGCAAGGTGCGGTAAACAGGGCGGGAGGCGAAAAGGGGCTGCCGCTGAGTGGGGGAATCAAGACTCGTCCAATCCCGCCCCAGTTCAAGTTCCCACCTGTCCCGCGTTACTGACCCGAAGGAGTTCCTCTCCATCTACGAGTCAGCAATCGAAGCGGCTCATGGTGACGAAAATACCAAGGCGAAGGTAATATATCTCGCTCTAGACGGCATCGCCCGTTCTTGGTATTTCAATTTACCAGCCAATAGCATTTACTCATGGGAGCAATTGCGCGATGTTTTTGTCCTTAACTTTCGAGGCACCTATAAGGAGCCGAAGACGCAGCAACACCTTCTTGGCATTCGCCAAAGGCCGGGGGAGTCGATAAGGGAGTACATGCGTCGCTTCTCGCAAGCCCGGTGCCAAGTTCAAGACATAACCGAGGCGTCGGTTATAAACGCCGCTTCGGCCGGTCTGCTTGAGGGCGAACTAACAAGAAAAATCACCAACAAGGAACCGCAGACGCTCGAGCACCTACTTCGCATCATTGACGGGTTCGCAAGGGGCGAGGAGGATTCTAAGCGACGGTAAGCTATACAAGCTAAGTACGATAAAGCCTTCGTCGCCGCTGCTCAAGCTCAAGCACAAGTTCAAATTGCCGATCCACCTCCCCTCTTTGTTCGCCAGTCTCAGCCGGCGATCCAGGGACAGCCGCCAAGGAGACCGAACCGCATGAGCGGCCCAAGCACACGCCGAAGCCCACCCCTCACGGCAAGATAACAAAAGTGCAGATGGATGATGCCGACCCCACAAAGCTCGTATCACTGGGGGGCGACATGGGCGAAGAAGAAGTTGAGAGCATCCAAGAGGTGCTCAAAAAGAACATCGATATCTTCGCCTGGAGCCCTAACGAGGTGGGGGGCGTCCCGGCGGATCTCATCATGCATCACTTAGCAGTCAAGCCGAATATTAAGCCAAGAAAGCAAAAGTTGCGCAAGATGTCTGCCGATCGCCAAGAAGCGGCGAAGACCGAAGTACAAAAATTACTCTGGGCGGGGGTTATTCAAGAGATTGACCAACCGGAGTGGTTGGCGAATCCAGTGCTGGTGCGGAAGTCAAATGGCAAATGGCGCATGTGTGTCGATTTCACAGACCTGAACAAGGTATGTCCGAAAGACGATTTCCCCTTGCCGCGAATCGACCAGCTTGTGGATTCAACAGCTGGATGCGAGCTCATGAGTTTCCTGGATGCATATTCCGGTCACCACCAGATCCACATGAACCCGCTCGACATCCCCAAAACATCCTTCATCACTCCATTCGGCACATTTTGTCACCTCAGGATGCCTTTCGGCTTAAGGAACGCAGGAGCAACCTTCGCCAGGCTGGTGTACAAGGTCCTTGGCAAGCAGCTGGGGCGAAAAGTGGAAGCTTACGTCGACGACATCGTCGTAAAAAGCCGCAAGGCTTTCGACCATGCGTTCGACCTGCAAGAGACGTTCGACAGCTTGCGCGCGGCAGGCATAAAGCAGAATCCGGAGAAGTGCGTTTTCAGCGTCCGCGTAGGCAAGTTGTTAGATTTCCTTGTTTCCGAAAGGGGCATCGAGGCGAATCCCGAGAAAATCAATGCCATCCAGCAAATGAAGCCTCCGTCAAGCGTACATGAAGTACAAAAGCTTACAGGCCGAATTGCAGCACTCAGTCGATTCCTCTCAAAGGCGGCCGAAAGAGGTTTGCCCTTCTTCAAGACCCTCCGGGGTGCGGGAAAGTTTAATTGGACACCAGAGTGCAAAGCAGCATTCGATGAGCTAAAGCAATACTTGCAAAGCCCGCCAGCTTTGATAAGCCCATCCCCAGGAAGCGAACTGCTATTATACTTGGTAGCTTCGCCGGTGGCAGTCAGTGCTGCACTCGTCCAAGAAACAGAGTCCGGACAGAAACCGGTCTACTTCGTCTCCGAAGCACTGCAAGGAGCGAAGACAAGGTACATTGAAATGAAAAAGCTTGCTTACGCTCTAGTAATGGCTTCGCGCAAGCTTAAGCACTACTTCCAGGCCCACAAAGTCATAGTCCCATCACAGTACCCCTTGGGCGAAATACTCCGAGGGAAGGAAGTCACTGGCCGGCTCAGCAAGTGGGCGGCAGAGCTATCCCCGTTCGACTTGCATTTTGTTGCACGCTCTGCTATCAAGTCTCAAGTGCTAGCTGACTTCGTAGCTGAATGGACACTAGTACTTGCCCCCGACCCCGAGCCCAACGACCAGTTCTGGGTGATGTGCTCTGACGGTTCGTGGTCGCACAAGGGGGCAGGCGTTGCGGCAGTCCTCTTTTCGCCGAATGGTGTGCCGATTTGGTACGCAGCGAGATTGCAGTTCGACACAACCAACAATGCAGCAGAATACGAAGCCGTTCTAACTGACTCCAAGTTGGTAGTAGGCCATGTTGACAAATCCTTCGAGGCAAAAGAAGAGGGAATGAAGAGGTATCTGGAGGCTGTTCGGTCCATGGAAAAAAGCTTCACCGGCATAACGGTCGAACACTTGCCTAGAGACCAAAACGTGGAAGCAGACGCCTTGGCGAAATCCGCTGCTTGTGGTGGCCCACATTCGCCTGGCATCTTTTTCGAAGTCCTACATGCTCCAAGTGTGCCCATGGACAGCTCGGAAGTCATGACAATCGACCAAGAGAAACTGGGCGAAGACCTATATGACTGGCGAACCCCATTTGTGAAACACCTTGAAACTGGTTGGCTTCTGGTAGACGAAGCAGAAGCGAAGCGTTTGCAACTCAGAGCCACGAAGTATAGGATGGTCTCGGGTCAGCTTTACCGCTCCGGGGTACTTCAACCCTTACTTCGTTGCATCTCTTTTGCCGAAGGCGAAGAAATGGCAAAGGAAATACATCAGGGGCTATGTGGCGCGCACCAGGCTGCAAGAAGAGTGGCCTCCAAAGTATTTAGACAAGGAGTTTATTGGCCCACTGTGTTGAAAGTCTGTGTTGAGCAAATCAAGAAGTGCGAAAGTTGCCAGCGTCATGGCCGAAGCCATGCCGCGCCCCAGTATGATCTGCAGCCCATTGCACCAATATGGCCCTTCGCCAGATGGGGACCGGACATTATTGGGCCATTCCCGGTGGCACGAAACGGGTATAAATTCACAATTGTAGCTGTGGAATATTTCTCTCGATGGATCGAAGTCGAACCCCCTTGGGGCAATCACTTCGGCAGCAGTACAGAAGTTTGTATGGAAAAACATTGTTTGCCGTTTCGGGGTGCCAAAAGAGTTCATTACTGACAACGGCAAGCAGTTTGACTCCGACAAGTTCAGAGAAATGTGCGAAGGGCTTAACCTAGAAATCAGGTTCGCGTCGGTCGCGCACCCACAGTCAAATGGGGCGGCCGAACGTACAAATAGCAAGATCCTAGAAGCACTAAAGAAAAGACTTGAGGGGGCGGCGAAAGGCAAATGGCCAGAAGAATTGTTATCGGTTCTTTGGGCCCTTCGGACGACCCCCACAAGACCAACCAAGTTTAGCCCATTTATGCTTCTTTATGGCGATGAGGCAATGACCCCAGCGGAGCTAGGGGCTAACTCACCAAGGGTTATGTTCTCCGGGGGCAAAGAGGGGCGCGAGGTATCACTCGAACTCTTGGAAGGTGTAAGGGTCGAAGCGCTCGAGCACTTGCACAAGTACGCCACAAGCACTTCGGCAACTTACAACAAAAAAGTCCGACCCACGGAGCTAATGCCTGGTCATCTCGTCCTAAGGAAAAAGGCGAACCCAGTAGCGGTTGGCAAGCTTGAATCAAAGTGGGAAGGACCATATACATCATCAAACACAAGTCCAGGATGGGATCTTTTCGCCTAGCGACACTCGAAGGCGAGGAGTTCGACCATTCCTGGAACGCCGCCTCCCTCAAGCGCTTCTACATCTAGAATGGGTGGCACCCAAATCGCCAACTTGTAAAAATGTACATACTGTCATGTAAGCCTTTCGGCACTATGTAAGCCTTTCGGCAAGAAAAAAAACGAAAAAAGAGAAGAGAAAAAGAAAAAAAAAACTGGATGTAGGGCTATTATCCACCATGGAGGCCCGAACCAGTATAAAATCTCTGTGTCCTCCGCCTTCTTTTTATTTCTTTTCGTGTGATTGATAATTTGTGGAAAAACCCCAAGGCAAACGCCTGATTAGTGAAAAAGGCCAGGGGGGCGAAACGAATCGGCCGAAGCATTGCTCGCCGAACGTTGAAACCGCAACAGCTTGTCTCGGAAAATAAATAGCCTAACGACGTTACGACCGATCAGCATAAAAGCAAAAGCGTTTCTCTCGACACAGAACGCTACAGATCGAAAACGAACGACGAAAAGCTGAAAAGTCACTACACCTATTTCGCTACTATATGCAAAGGGGCTGGCATGTTCCGACCTAACAAAAGCACAAAGTGTGACGATGCGAAAAATAGCGAAAAGGAAATAAAGCACGTTCTTTATTAGCTTCGAAAAAATAATCGAAGAATACAAGGTTTACAACCCGATACAATTCATTTTACAAGTAAATTACATTTTCGCCCCAGTAATCATTATCCCTCCCTAAGGAATGGTCGGACGAACTAGGTTCGTCATCACTACTAATATCATACACAACCTTAAGAGGAGTAGGGGGCGAAACACAGACTAAACTGTAACGACGCTGAAAGATCGATTCCTGGCGTTTAGTCTTCTGATGGTTTTGCCAAAAGCGAGCCATATCCTCCAAACGTCTTGAATGAACAAGATCGTAATCTTCTAAGGTTCGCCCGGGGTGCGCCCGCAGCCAATTGGCAACCTTGAAAACTTTATAGCTGCGACCGTTTATTTCCATTTCGCGATAAACAGGCCGAAATGGACATCGCACCTTCGGCAAACCCTTCAATGCCACAAATTTCTCGTTTTGACTTCGCCAGCTCCCAGAAGGGGGCCGAATGCATGATTTTCGGCAAACCCCCTGGTAGACAGTGCAGAAAAGGCAAAACACATCTTGCATGGTAAGAATAGGCGAAAGAAGGGGAAGGTATGGCATAATGCAAAATGAGCGAAATAATAATATGCCAAAGACTTTGATCATTAAAAAGTGGTTAAAATTTCATACAGTCCAAGTATGCAAAAAAGCCTTTTTTAAGGTCTAGCGGCAGTTTGCCGAATATACAATGGTTCGCCACATCTAGCGAACACCAAAAGAAAACTATGAAAATCTAAGAGAAGGGCGGAGGGCCTCACACCTCTGGGTGATCCTGGGCATCGCCTCCACCCCCTCCGGCTGCCGCGCCCTCCTCTTCTCAAATGTCCGCCGCCTCCGCTTTCGCCAGCTGCTCCAAAAGGTGCGCCTTAGCGGCGGAGCGGCCGTCCTTCTGCCAAAATTGTTTTCGCCACGCACGAAGTGCAGGCGAAATGTCTTGCGCACTGATTTCCCAATCCCCCTTCGCGTACTTGGGGAACTCGGCGATGTGCTCGCAGCCGAACTGTTGCAGGAGGCCCATGGTAAAGGCCGCTGACACGCGTGCACAGCAATCGCCGTATGCGGTGGTGGAGTCTGAAACCGAACCACCAGCCTGTTGGGTCCATTCGGAGAAGTCGAAGGCTGAGGCATCTTCGGAGGGGACACCCCGCACCTTCGCGCCCATATCAATAAGGGCAAGGCGAAGCATTTGGCACGCTGTCCGCGCGGACTCGGTGGTTTTCACCATCTCCTGCGAAAACCGCCGCGACTCCTCTGCAGCGCTTGCTTCGGCCTTGCGAACCTCCTACCGAAGAGCCTCCATCTTCGGCTCGGTGAGGTTATAATAATCTATGAGCATGGCGGTGTGGGCCTTCTCTTTCTCCAGTTCGGCCTTTAAGCGATCAACTTTGGCCCTAGCTTCCTTCCCTTTCTCTAGTTCCGATTGGAGCCGCTTGTTTTCGACCTTCGCCTCCTTAAGGGTGTTGGCAAGGGCCTCCATCTCCAAATTTTTGCGGCCTAGTTCGTCATCCTTGGCCCGAAGACGGCTTTTGAACCCATCAAGTCGAGCTCGCACGATTCGCTCCGTTGAGCAGTGAGCCACAAGGATCTGGGCGCAGAATACGAGCGGGGAAGAGAACAAGTGTCAATTTTAAAAACAAGATAGAGGAAGAGTAAAGATAAAAAGGGGGGGAAAAACGTACCCGAACAGCCAGGCTTTTTATAGCAGAGCACCCCTCGTCGAACTCATTCAGTTCGGTGAACAAGCTCGGGGCGCTGGCGGGCAGTACAAGATTGCTTACCCCCTCCACAAATGGAAGGAGGTCCACTCGCGTCTCGAAGTCGCCAGGGGCGAAGCGGGGTACCGAGAGCGAATATTCCGAAGCGAACGTCTCAGCGACCGCTTTCTTTCCCTTCGCCTCCATCAGCGGCGAGGCAACCGGCTGATGCGGAGGACTGCCGAATACTTTCGCCGCGGCCATCACAATCCTTTCCGCAGAAGCCGAAGCCCCAGCGGCGGTACTACCGTCCACTCCAGCGGCGCCAAGTGGAGGAATGGGGGCGGCCGAAAGATCCAGGCTGCGACCAGTGGGCGAAGTCGGAGTCCCGTCGGAGGACTCGTCATCGCTAAAAACGCGAGCGACATCGACGAGTCCTTTCTTTTTAGCCACCTTTTTGACAGGACCTCCCTTTGCCGCCGCGCCCGAAGAGAACGCAACTAGGGCCTTCGCCCCTTCTAAATCCTTCCGACGAAGGGGGGAGCTGTTCGACTCCACCCCATTTTCGTTGTGACCAGGACTTGGGGTAGGAGTGTACCTGGGGGTGTCGGCGCGGTCTTCGACTGCCTCACCCGCGGCCTTATCAGCCACAGCCTCCACCTCCTCCTCTTCCTCTCCTTCCTCCTCGCCGTCACGTTCTTTGGCATCATCCTCGTCGTCAGCGTCGGAGTCAAACGAAGCAGGAACCCTTCGCTTCTTGGGGGCAAGCTTCACTTGTCCACGCATCCACTTTCGTGAAGGCCCTGCCTCGTCGACGGCCTTTTGGGGATTCGCCCGGGGAGGCAGTTCGCCATTGTAAACCCGGTTCGCCCGCCTAGCCGCTTGACGCGTTAACAGCTGACTATACTCGACGACCGAAACATCGCCGATCATCCTGCGGGCTTCGGCTTCGGCCTGGTCGAGGGTCAACACTGAAAAATTAGAGCGTGAAGCTACGTCAAAAGTCAAATAAGGCGAAATAACAAAGCACAGTAGTATATAGCAAAAGAACAGTCTTACTGTTTGCCCCCTTAGGGAGTATCAGGTTCGGCAAACCGTCGACTTCTTCGCCTTGTTCAACCGCGACTTGCCATGACTGGGAGAGGGGAAAAATTTGAAGCATACAAAATTCCTCCACCAAGTCACGGCAGCTAAGGCGGGAGCAAACCTTCCGCAGTAGAACGAACCGCGCCTCCATGGTGCCGTCCACAGCGATCTTGGGTCTCCGGTTCGGCGCAATCGCCCTACGCCGGCACCGGAGGGCTTTCGCTGATTTAGAACCAACCTCGAAGGGGATGGTGTGGTAGAACCACCTCGCCATCCAATGGCGGTCCCACTTCGACATAGCAGCGTTCACCGGCCAGAGATCGGACCGCTCGGGGCGAACGTTGAAGTTCACGCTCCCGAACACGGTTTTTTTCGTTCCAGCCGGGGTGATCACCATCTTCGAGTTCACGGTGGCGAAAAATATGGCGCCAAAGAGCTCGGCGTTGGGCTCAAACCCGGAAGTCCGACACGCCCAGTCGAAGATAGCGATCCGAACAAGCGCCGACGGGCTCAGCTGCGGAAGTTCCACCTCAAAGAGGCGAAGGATCTCCGGCAACAACACGTTGCAGGGAAACCGTAGCCCTGCCTCAAAAAATACGGCGAACACCACCGTCCGGTTGTCGACAGGTTTCGGCACCACGGTTTTCCCTGGGGCGAAAGCCTGCCCCTCAACCAACGCTCCGGAGCTGACCAACTTCGCCAGCTCGACGTCGTCCACAAGAGAGACCCCCCCGAAAGGCGGTGCTGTCGTCATCGACTCGGCCGGGATCTGGCCCTTTCGCCGAAGTAGGGTTTGGCTTACGTGGAGCCATGGCGAACGGTGCGTTTGCGGTGGCGAAAAAAGAGATTCGAAGAAACGCCTGAGGGGTCGAAAGATGCTGTGAAAGGAAGAGACGGAGAAAGAGAGCGCGCACGGTAAAATGGCAAGTGTGGCGGTGAAAAGGAAAGAGCAACGGGAATATATAGCCCGCCCAAGCGACCGTTCGCCTACCCACCAGTAATAAAGCGCCACGTGTCGCAAGGGTAGGTGAAACGGTAAATTCCCGTCGACCGAGCGGCACAGTAAAAAGCCCAAGAAAGGAAGGCCCAATACTGTTCCGTTCGGCCTAGGAAAAAAGAATATATATAACCATCAATCGCACGAGGCGAAGCGCGGCAAAATAATACCAGCTGCACAAGTAACAAACTTCATTTGCAGGAATAATGTAGGTTTCGGCAGGAGCATCGGTCGAAAGGGGGCGCCACATACCATACCACATGGTTTACACGGTCTCGGCCGAAGCTCCAATCTCACCCTTGCCCGCGAGGGGCCTGTTGGCGAATGGCATGAGGCTCTTCGACCAGATCTGCCGAAACCCGTGGCGAAGGCTATGGAGCAAGAACGGCGTGAGGCGAAGAGTCGCACGAGAGCCTTGCCAGGCCAGGGGCGTCTCGGGCGAAGGGTGCAAGGCGAAGACTATCTGCCGAAGGAAGACGACTTCGCCATGTCGGCAAGTTCGCCCCCGCAAGGGCCGAGGAAGCCTTTCCGGCCCATCAAGCCTAAGGGCCGGCGATCGCTAGACGGCCCATCAGGGGCCCATGAGACCCTATAACATTATGTACCCCTGTAAATGTCCCTTTCATAAGGGTAATCATGTAAATTCCCCTGTACAACCTAGATCCTAGTAGTAAGAGCCTGCAACAGGGCTATAAATAACCCCCTAGGGCCATGTAACGGGGGATCCCAAGTGAAATTCAAAATTTAGTACACTTCATTTTCCCAACCACTGTTGAGTAACCACGTCCTTCGACGTATGCAGTTGTCGTTTCGACAACAAAAGGTATTTAAATAACTTAATAAAATTTAGTTCAAAAAGGTTTTAAAGAATGGAAATAAATGAATCAAAGAAAAGTATTTAAGAAAATTTAAATAAATTTTTTTAAAAAATAGAAAATTTGGTGTCAAAATGAAGAGTTTGAAATTAGATGAATTTTGATCAAAGGTTCACTGGAATTGGATTTGTGGTTGGAAAGATATGAGTCCCTAAAGATTGAAAATAAAATAAAAGGAAAAAGGGTTACTTTATAAAAGTGGGGCCCACTGTCAAGTGCTCCTTCAACCTCTTTTTCTCGTCTTCTTCTTCCTCTCTTCTCCTTCCAGCCGGGTACAGAGGAGAGGGAGGGAGAAGGGCGTCGGTGCTCCGGTGGTTGAACGGCCTCGACGATGGCGTCCAAGCGTGTTCCCGAGCATCACGCACCCGGGGAGGGTAGAGGAAGGCAGAGGTAAAGAGGAGGATGGCCGGAACGGCGGCGACAAGAGCACAGCTCCGACAACAAGAGGAGGTGGCTGTGGTGGTTGGTTTCGGAGGGGGAAAGAGAGGGGAAACTAGAAAAATGAGTTCACCTCACCAAGGCAAGCCCGATGGCGCAAGTATTTGGCCAGTGGAACTCCGGTGAGGGAGATCGGCCGACGGTAGGTGGCGGCTTGACATGGATGGAGAGAGGCTCTGTTTGTGTGGAGGGAATGGGTGGTCTCGCCGGCTATTTATAGACGGCAAAGGTCGGTTTGCAGAGGAGAGGGAGAAGGGAAACACGACGCCGACAAAGTGGAGCGGAAGAAAGCGGCGCCGGCCTCGCCTTTTGATTGGCTGGCCACGTCGGTTCTACTCGATGGCTGACGTCGGCAGGGTGACGTCACAGCTGACGTTGGTGTCACGCCATCAGATACACGTGCATGCAACAAAGATGATGCAGAGAATGGGCCTCATCGAGTTCGGCCCAGTCGCCAAGTGAGAGCAAATCCGAAATACATTGGAAGGATCTAGACTAAGTAAGGGATATAAATAGTGTCTAGGAGACTAGAGAGAGGGATGACTTGTAACTGGAAATAAATCTATCCCAATTCTTGTAATTGGAAATAAATCTATCCCAATTCTGAAATCCTTCCTCTGTCTCAGCTCTGTCTCAAACTCTGTTTCTTTCTCTTACTTTCTCTCCAAGTTGCTGTTCTTCCTTTCGTTTGATCTTGCAGATTGGGATCGTAACATTTTGGTATCAGAGCTCGTCTCATCCGGGAGAAACCACGGTTCAAGACGCGATTGCAGAAGCAGGTTGATGCGATGGAGAACAAGGCGGTAGACTTCGAGAAGATGCTCGCTGGGATCCAGAACTCCATCGGAGCGATGGCGGCAAAGCAGGACGAGACTCAAGTCATCGTTCGCCGAATGGATCAAACCATGTCAAGTTGGAAGCCACAAGTTGATGCTGTTGTCAAGGGATTGCAAGTCGAGATGGAGGAGTTGAAGGCTCAGGTGGGGCAGCTGGAGTTGCAGCATCAAGGCGGAGGCAATTCGTCGAACAACTTGGGTGCGACACAAGCTTCGTCCTCGGCAATCAAGGATGAAGTGGAGCGTCAGGCACCTCTACTTCCCACGTTGCCAGAATTTCTCGCTGCTGCAGCGTTGGGAGAATTTGGCTTGGATGGCCGCCGCCCTGCTTCAAACTACCGGGGGAAAGCACATGGGATGGTCACCACCCTTGTGCCACCTCCGGTCAAAAGTACGTTTCGATCAACTACCCCTGTTCGTCATGCTTTGGATTTTTCGGATGTTTTGGGGAGAGATGATCATGGGGGTGGAGAGGATCGTGGGTTTAATCATCGGTTGCCCAAATTGGATTTTCCACATTTTGATGGGAGCGATCCTCAGAACTGGAGGATGCGCTGTGAGCACTATTTTGGAGTTTATGGCACGCATCCTAGTTTGTGGGTGAGAGTGGCGACCATTTATTTTATGGGGAGAGCTGCATCCTGGTTGCGATCATCAAAGGCTCATTTGCAGTTTGAGGATTGGGAGATTTTTTGTGGAGCTGTAGACAAAATGTTTGATCGGGATCAACATTCGTTGCTCATCCGACAAACTGAACAGCTCAAGCAGACTGGGTCGGTAGAGGAGTATTATGAGAAGTTTGATGATTTGATGAACTAGTTGTTGACCTATGATCCATATATTAATCAGAAGAGTATAGTGCATAGGTTTATGGAGGGATTGAGGGTAGACATAAGAAATGCAGTTTTGTTACATCGTCCTTTAGACCTGGAGACTGCTCTTGCTATCGCTTGTTTGCAGGAGGAATTAATGGAAGCCCAGAAGAGTAAGGAGATTCGAAAATTTGGTGATTCTAGTGCAAGAATTAAGGGGGCTTATCCTTTGCCGTTACCACCTGGCAAAAGAATTGGAGATGCACCCAGGAATCTGCCACGAGCAATTCCTGATATTGGCAAGGCTAACTCGACCACTGACAAGATCAGTGCACTGAAATCTTATCGAAGGGCACAAGGACTATGCTACTTATGTGCAGAAAAGTGGTCACCTACTCATAAGTGTTCAGGGATTGTGCAATTGCAAGCTGTTCAGGAGTTATTTGCAATGTTTTCAGCCGATCAACCTGAGCAAGAATTAAGTGAATCTGATGGAGAAGGATCACAGACACTGATGGCAATTTCTCTGCAAGCCATTCAGGGTACTGTTGCTGGTTAGACAATTCGATACCAAGGGCTAATTCAGGGTTTTGAAATCTTGGTGTTGGTTGATTCTGGAAGTTCTTGTAGTTTTATCAACTCTAGGATTGGAACTGATCTTAAAGGAATACAACCTTTAAGAGTTCCTTTACAAGTTCGAGTGGCCAATGGGAGTATACTTCAATGTGAATCTGAATTGCCAAATGCCAAGTGGGAAGTGCAGGGGAACACTTTCCATACTACTTTCAAGGTGTTACCTCTCAATAACTATGATGTGATATTGGGAATGGACTGGTTGGAGCAACATAGTCCAATGGATATTGATTGGCAAAAGAAAACTTTAAGTTTACAAGGAAATGGAGGCCTAGTGCAATTACTTGGGGTTAGTTCAGATATTGCTCATTGCACAGAATTGTCTTGTGCACAACTATATGACATGCATGATCGAGGTTCAGTAGAAGGGATGGTTCAGTTGTGGGAAATTCAGGACGAGTCCATGCAACCAATTCCTGAACAAATTCAATTGATTCTGTCTGACTTTGCAGAAGTTTTTGAGGAACCCCGAGGATTACCACCTTCTCAAGATTGTGATCATACCATTCCTTTAGTTCCTGGAGCTCAACCAGTTAATGTAAGGCCTTATCGTTATACACCAATTCAGAAAGATGAGATTGAAAAACAAGTTAAGGAGATGTTGGACAAAGGACTGATTAAGCCTAGTGCTAGCCCATTTTGTTCACCTGTGCTCTTGGTCAAAAAGAAGGATGGATCATGGCGATTTTGTGTGGATTACAGACATTTGAATGCTATCACAGTAAAGAATAAGTATCCATTACCTGTGATTTATGAATTATTGGATGAATTATGATGAGGACATCAACACCATCGATACATCCATGTCCCCCCATGTACAGCATGATGGTCCTATTACCCGCGCTCGTGCACGTCAACTAAATTATCAGGTGAGTTCTTTCTTGAGTTCATATTCCTCGTCTTTATACCCCGGAGACGCGTGCACTCGTGTTTTACTCAGGAACGATGGAGAGGATCCAAAAGGAAGAGGATTCGCGCGGGGTGGATTCGGACTGCAGGGCAGCGCCAACTTCTGACGGCCGCCACGACTTCATGCGAACTCCGATTTGGGTGTGCAAGTACTTCATGGAAAGCTTATCAAGTCTACTTTCAAATGGATCCAGCCACATGTCCATATCTGTTCTGGAGCGGCCGCAATTGTCATTTTACTCCCGACTATTTTCTGTCAATGGTGCTGCGTCACCTCTTTTGGCCCAATGGGCTGTGTATCCAAGTTGGGCCCATTAGGGGCGCGTCCTAGGGTTGGAGCACGACCCTATGGTCGTTCTTCCCCTCTTCTTATAGCTCTAGTCGCCGCCAAGAACAGGCGGGTTTTGATGATAGAGATAGCTTCTTGCTACCGGCTCGCAGCGCGCGTGTTGGCTAAACCGCCCGTCTGCCTGTAATCGGAACCCCACCATATTGTGTTTGATAGTGAAACTTTCATTTTTATCTAGCAATTTCAGTGCTTGTCCTACTTGTTCTTGCTTGTTCTTCGATTGCTTGCAGGACGAGTGCCCTCGTGGCCGGGTTGACGCGCACCACAAGTTCGCGGCGACCATTGGAGACGGTGTATCGGTTGCTAAGGCGCAGCGTCTTTGGACAGTTGTAGTCGGGCCGTGAACGTCGACTTCATTTAATCGAGTTATCCCTTACCTCTCATCGAAAGATCAGGCCACAAACCCTAGCGGGTTCGCATCAGGTGGTATCAGAGCGTGGTTCATCGGTGAGAGAATTTACCCTTCCCTTCGTCATTAATTTTTTTTTCCTATAGTCCAGAAAAGACCAACAAAAAAAAATAGTAGATTAGTTTTCCCGTGATCCTATAGACCATTGTGCCTTTTTACTAGTACTGCTTAGTTAAGGCTTGTTGAGTTTTCGATTGCATCGGTTGTGTTAATTTGCTGGTCTTAGTGTTAGGCGATCAGAGTTTCGAGTTCTTGCCACCATCGCACATCGCCACCTTCATCAATTTTGCCGTCATCACCACCGTCACCACCGTCGCAGTCACCCACCAAATCACTTTCTATTTGTGTTTGATCTGTTGCCGATAGCTTTTGTGAGTTGCCTTGTATCCTGCTGCCACTAGAAAGGAAATAGAACCCTGATTCGAGTGACCTTCCTTAAAACAGTCATATCTTTTTCATACGGACTCGAAATTAGGCTTATAATATATCCATGGACATCTACAAAAAAAGTTACATCCGATTCTCCCCGGCTTTGCCGGGTTCGGCAAATTTAAAATCGCCAAATTCCTCTTGCAAAATTCTGTTTTTGTGGCGAGAAGCTTGGGGACCTATTCGCATAGAACTTTGAAAATAATTCTACAAGCTTCATACTTTGTCCGTTTGAGATAAGATTTTCTGTGGTTGGTTCTAGTGTGCTCCTGGTTGTGAAAAAAATATCAAAAAAAAAAAAGTTGTGCCTCTCTCCTCAGCACTAGAGAGAGCAAGCAAAAAAAAAAACAAAAAAACAAAAAGAGGATCCAGCGAGCACACCCCACCATTCCCCCTTTGTCACCACCTTCCACCACCGGTTCTTGTTTTCGTTGCTGTTTGGGTTTGTGTTTTGTGGCGTCCTTTGTGGTTAGGCTCGCGTCTCTACTTCGACTAGCCTAGGACCAGCACTGTACACTATACCCTTGAGCGATTATTCAATTTGCTTTGGCTAATGTGGTTTCTAGTTTTCTCTTGAGCATTGCTTTCAGCCCACCAACAGCTCCACCACAAACCCGACTACAGCTTGACAGGTCTTGTTGCTACAGCACCGATACACCTCGTTCCACGGTTGCTAACTTGTGGGTTGCTGTCCCCCTCCTGTGGGCAAGGTAAGAACTGGTAAGAGCTTGTGAGACAAGCTGCGAGTAAAGTGAGAGTGAGCGTCTTGCAAAAGCTACATCCCAATAGTTGTGTAGGGCTTACATTACATCCTCCATTGTTTTGTTGTCCTTCATTTCTAAACCATGGCAGGTCCAGAGGATAAAGATGAGGAGGCTGCATCTCATTCCCCACGCACCAAAGGCATCATCCAATACTTTACAAGGCAAGTGAAGCAGCACACAGAAGGACTTGATACAGATTTGCAGGTGACAAATGAGAAGATTGGACAATTGGAGTCCACGCAGATCTCCACCAACACTAAGCTTACAGGGCTGGAGACAGCGGTCGCCCGCATTGACACTAGCCTTGCTGCTCTTGTGAGGCATTTTGATGCTCTCAATGCTGGAGGCAATGGTGGGGGTAATGACGATGACATTGACGGAGAGTACGTCGAGGATAATTTGGAGGATGAATATATTGCTGACACTGAACAAGATGATCGAGATGCTCGAGATCGTCGACGGCTACACAACAATCGACGAGGTATGGGTGGTCGCCGCCGACGCGAGGTACGCAACAATGATGATGCTTTTTCTAAAATTAAATTTAAGATTCCTCCTTTTGATGGAAAATATGATCCTGATGCGTACCTCTCTTGGGAGATTGCTGTTGACCAAAAATTTGCATGCCATGAGTTTCCTGAGAGCACTAGAGTTAGAGCTGCTACGAGTGAGTTCACCGATTTTGCTTCGGTTTGGTGGATAGAACATGGCAAGAAAAATCCTAATAACATGCCACAAACTTGGGATGCTTTGAAACGGGTCATGCGGGCTAGATTTGTTCCTTCTTACTATGCACGTGACTTGCTGAATAGGTTGCAACAATTGAGACAGGGTGCGAAAAGTGTAGAGGAATATTATCAGGAGTTACAAATGGGCTTGCTTCGTTGTAATTTAGAGGAAACTGAGGACGCTGCCATGGCTAGATTTTTGGGTGGGTTAAACCGCGAGATTTATGATATCGTAGACTATAAAGATTACACTAATATGACCCGATTGTTTCATCTTGCTTGTAAGGCTGAAAGGGAAGTGCAGGGACGACGTGCTAGTGCCAAGGCTAATTTTTCTGCAGGTAAAACTTCATCATGGCAGACACGCACCACTCCTCCGGCCGGCCGTACTGCTTCTCCATCTTCCACACCCACAACTAGTCGAGCAGCACCTCCTCCATCTAGTGACAAGTCAGCGACAAAGGCTGCTCAGCCAGCACCGAGTGCTTCTTCAATGGCATCCACAGGCCGAATGAGAGATGTTCAGTGCCACCGTTGCAAGGGCTTTGGGCATGTGCAGCGTGACTGCCCTAGCAAGCGAGTTTTGGTAGTCAAAAACGATGGTGAGTACTCCTCTGCTAGTGATTTCGATGATGATACACTTGCTTTGCTTGCGGCTGACCATGCAGATAATGAGCCACCGGAAGAGCACATTGGGGCTGCATTTGCGGATCACTATGAGAGCCTCATTGTGCAGCGTGTCCTTAGCGCACAAATGGAGAAGGCGGAGCAAAATCAGCGACACACGTTGTTCCAAACAAAGTGTGTCGTCAAAGAGCGTTGTTGCCGCATGATCATTGATGGAGGTAGCTGCAAAAACTTGGCTAGCAGCGAGATGGTGGAGAAGCTTGCACTTAGCACCAAACCGCACCCACATCCATACTACATCCAATGGCTGAACAACAGTGGTAAGGCGAAGGTAACAAAACTGGTGCACATTAATTTTGCAATTGGAAATTACCATGATGTTGTTGAATGTGATGTTGTGCCCATGCAAGCATGTAATATTCTGCTAGGTAGACCATGGCAATTTGATAGGGATTCTATGCATCATGGTAGGTCCAACCAGTACTCTTTTCTGTACCATGATAAGAAAATTGTGTTGCATCCCATGTCTCCTGAAGATATTTTGCGTGATGATGTTGCTAAGGCTGCCAAATCCAAATGTGAGAGTGATAAAAAAGCCCAATCTGATGGCAAGAAACCTGAGACAATCAATTTGAAACCCAAATGCTTACTTGCTACTAAATCTGATATTAATGAGTTGATTGCATCACCTTCAGTTGCCTATGCTTTGGTATGCAAAGATGCTTTGATTTCACTTCACGATATGCAGCATTCTTTGCCCCCTGCTGTTGCTAACATTTTGCAGGAGTACTCTGATGTGTTTCCCAAGGAAGTGCCACCGGGGCTGCCACCGGTGCGCGGCATTGAGCATCAAATCGACTTGATCCCAGGTGCTTCCCTACCGAACCGTGCGCCATACCGAACCAACCCTGAGGAAACCAAGGAGATTCAGCGTCAAGTTCATGAGTTGCTTGATAAAGGGTATGTACGCGAGTCTCTTAGTCCATGTGCGGTTCCGGTAATTTTGGTACCAAAGAAAGATGGTTCATGGCGTATGTGTGTTGATTGTAGAGCTATTAATAACATTACCATTCGATATCGTCATCCTATTCCTAGGTTAGATGATATGCTTGATGAATTGAGTGGCTCTATTGTGTTCTCCAAAGTTGATTTGCGTAGTGGTTACCACCAGATTCGTATGAAGTAGGGTGATGAATGGAAAACAGCATTTAAAACGAAGTTTGGGTTGTATGAGTGGTTAGTGATGCCTTTTGGTTTAACTAATGCACCCAGCACTTTCATGAGGTTGATGAATGAGGTTTTGCGTCCTTTCATTGGAAAATTTGTGGTGGTCTACTTTGATGATATCTTGATTTACAGCAAGTCTATGGGTGAACATTTTAATCATTTACGTGCTGTTTTTAATGCTCTTCGTGATGCACGTTTATTTGGTAACCTTGAGAAGTGCACCTTTTGCACAGATCGAGTTTCTTTTCTTGGCTATGTTGTAACTCCGCAGGGGATTGAGGTTGATCAAGCCAAGGTTGAGGCAATTCAGAGTTGGCCGACTCCTAAAACGGTCTCACAAGTGCGGAGCTTTCTAGGACTCGCGGGGTTCTATCGCCGCTTTGTGCAGGATTTCAGCACCATTGCTGCACCATTGAATGCGCTTACAAAGAAGGGAGTGCCTTTCACTTGGGGCACATCACAAGAGAACGCCTTCCACATGTTGAAAGATAAGTTGACCCATGCACCTCTCCTCCAACTTCCCGATTTTAATAAGACTTTTGAACTTGAATGTGATGCTAGTGGGATTGGATTGGGTGGTGTTTTGCTACAAGAAGGAAAACCTGTTGCATATTTTAGTGAAAAGTTGAGTGGGCCTGTTCTGAATTATTCTACTTATGATAAGGAATTGTATGCTCTTGTGCGAACTTTAGAAACATGGCAGCATTATTTGTGGCCCAAGGAATTTGTCATACATTCTGATCATGAGTCTTTGAAGCATATTCGTAGTCAAGGGAAGCTGAACCGTAGACATGCTAAATGGGTTGAATTTATTGAATCTTTTCCTTATGTTATCAAACACAAGAAAGGGAAGGAGAACATCATTGCTGATGCTTTGTCTAGGAGATACACTTTGTTGACACAACTTGACTACAAGATTTTTGGCCTGGAAACAATCAAAGACCAATATGCGCATGATGCTGATTTTAATGATGTGTTGCTGCATTGTAAGGATGGAAGAACATGGAACAAATTCGTCATCAATGATGGGTTTGTTTTCAGAGCTAACAAGCTATGCATTCCAGCTAGCTCCGTTCGCTTGTTGTTGTTGCAGGAAGCGCATGGAGGCGGTTTGATGGGACATTTTGGTGCCAAGAAGACACATGACATCCTTGCTAGTCATTTCTTTTGGCCACAGATGCGAAGAGATGTTGGCAGGTTCGTTGCTCGCTGCGCTACATGTCAAAAGGCTAAGTCACGCTTACATCCACATGGTTTGTATATGCCTCTTCCTGTTCCTACTGTTCCTTGGGAAGATATTTCAATGGATTTTGTGTTAGGATTGCCTAGGACCAAGAGGGGGCGTGATAGCATTTTTGTGGTTGTGGATAGATTTTCTAAAATGGCACATTTCATACCATGTCATAAAACTGATGATGCTTCTCATATCGCTGATTTGTTCTTTCGAGAAATTGTTCGCTTGCATGGTGTGCCAAACACAATTGTTTCTGATCGTGACACAAAATTTCTTAGCCATTTTTGGAGAACTTTGTGGGCTAAATTGGGGACTAAACTTTTGTTTTCTACTACTTGTCATCCCCAAACTGATGGACAAACTGAAGTGGTGAATAGAACCTTGTCTACTATGCTTGGGCTGTTTTGAAGAAAAATATCAAGATGTGGGAAGAATGCTTGCCTCAAATTGAATTTGCTTATAATCGTTCCTTGCATTCTACTACAAAAATGTGCCCATTTCAGATTGTGTATGGTTTGTTGCCTCGTGCTCCAATTGATTTGATGCCTTTACCATCTTCTGAAAAACTGAATTTTGATGCTAAGCAACGTGCTGAGTTGATGTTAAAACTGCATGAGACAACTAAAGAAAACATAGAGCGCATGAATGCTAAGTATAAGTTTGCTGGTGACAAAGGTAGAAGGGAATTGAATTTTGAACCTAGAGATTTGGTTTGGTTGCATTTGCGAAAAGAACGATTTCCTGATTTGAGAAAGTCTAAATTGATGCCTAGAGCTGATGGACCATTTAAAGTGTTAGCAAAGATTAATGAGAATGCATATAAGATTGATTTGCCTGCAGATTTCGGGGTTAGTCCCACATTTAACGTTGCAGATTTGAAGCCGTATTTGGGAGAAGAAGATGAGCTTGAGTCGAGGACGACTCAAATGCAAGAAGGGGAGGATGATGAGGACATCAACACCATCGATACATCCATGTCCCCCCATGTACAGCATGATGGTCCTATTACCCGCGCTCGTGCACGTCAACTAAATTATCAGGTGAGTTCTTTCTTGAGTTCATATTCCTCGTCTTTATACCCCGGAGACGCGTGCACTCGTGTTTTACTCAGGAACGATGGAGAGGATCCAAAAGGAAGAGGATTCGCGCGGGGTGGATTCGGACTGCAGGGCAGCGCCAACTTCTGACGGCTGCCACGACTTCATGCGAACTCCGATTTGGGTGTGCAAGTACTTCATGGAAAGCTTATCAAGTCTACTTTCAAATGGATCCAGCCACATGTCCATATCTGTTCTGGAGCGGCCGCAATTGTCATTTTACTCCCGACTATTTTCTGTCAATGGTGCTGCGTCACCTCTTTTGGCCCAATGGGCTGTGTATCCAAGTTGGGCCCATTAGGGGCGCGTCCTAGGGTTGGAGCACGACCCTATGGTTGTTCTTCCCCTCTTCTTATACCTCTAGTCGCCGCCAAGAATAGGCGGGTTTTGATGATAGAGATAGCTTCTTGCTACCGGCTCGCAGCGCGCGTGTTGGCTAAACCGCCCGTCTGCCTGTAATCGGAACCCCACCATATTGTGTTTGATAGTGAAACTTTCATTTTTATCTAGCAATTTCAGTGCTTGTCCTACTTGTTCTTGCTTGTTCTTCGATTGCTTGCAGGACGAGTGCCCTCGTGGCCGGGTTGACGCGCACCACAAGTTCGCGGCGACCATTGGAGACGGTGTATCGGTTGCTAAGGCGCAGCGTCTTTGGACAGTTGTAGTCGGGCCGTGAACGTCGACTTCATTTAATCGAGTTATCCCTTACCTCTCATCGAAAGATCGGGCCACAAACCCTAGCGGGTTCGCATCAAATTAGCTGGTGCTTGTTACTTTTCCAAGTTGGATTTGCGATCTGGATATCACCAGATCCGAATGGCTGTTCAGGATGAGCACAAAACAACCTTCAAAACACATAATGGGCATTATGAATTTCGGGTGTTACCATTTGGACTGACCAGTGCACCAGCTACATTTCAAGGAGTGATGAATTCTGTATTGGCAAATCTGTTAAGGCACAGTGTTTTGGTATTTGTTGATGATATTTTGGTGTATAGCAAGACTTTAACTGAACATGTCGAGCATCTCAGACAAGTGTTACAAATCTTGACTGATCATCAGCTTAAGGTCAAGAGGTCTAAATGTTCTTTTGGACAAACTCAACTAGCATATTTGGGGCATATTATCAGTAAGAATGGAGTTGCAACTGATGACAGCAAGATTGCAGCAGTTAAAGATTGCGATTAAGCTCTTCTTATCATCCACAATCTGATGGACAAACGGAACGAGTAAATCAGTGTTTGGAAATGTTTTTACGCTGTTTTACTCATGCCTGTCCTAATCGTTGGCATTAGTGGTTAGCACTTGCTCAGTATTGATACAATACATCATTTCATTAAGCAATCAAAATGACACCATTTGAGGCATTGTTTGGACATAAGCCGAATTACTTTGGGTTATTGGGAGCTTCTTCAGCAAATTCTCCAGCATTGACAGATTAGCTCAGTGAAAGACATTGTATGGATACTTTGATTTATAATCATCTTTTGCGGGCTCAACAACGAATGAAGTTTCAAGCTGATCAAAATCGTTCAGAGAGAGTTTTCTCTATGGGGGATTGGGTGTTTATGAAACTTCAACCATTTGTGCAACAATCTGTCATGACCCGAGCTAACAGGAAGCTTTCATTCAAGTTTTATGGACCTTTCAAAGTACTGCAGTGTGTGGGAACGGTGGCTTATCGATTAGCTCTGCCTATCACAAGTTTGATTCACCCTGTAGTGCATGTCTCTCAATTAAAGAAAGCTTTAGCACCAACTGAAGAATTGCAGTCAGAGTTGCCTCATCTTGATCCTGAAGCTGGTCATTTGGCAACTCCAGTTTGTGTTTGTGCTCGTCGTCTGTGTCGTCGTGGTGCGAAGATGATCGAGCAAGTACAAGTCGAGTGGTCTGGTTTATCTTCTTCGGCTTGTACCTGGGAAAATTTTGGTGAATTGCATTGCCGTTTTCCTTCAACATCAGCTTGGGGACAAGCTGATTTTCAAGGGGGGAAGAATGTCATGCCATCAGATACATGTGCATGCAATAAAGATGATGCAGAGAATGGGCCTCATCGAGTTCGGCCCAGTCGCCAAGTGAGAGCAAATCCGAAATACATTGGAAGGATCTGGACTAAGTAAGGGATATAAATAGTGTCCAGGAGACTAGAGAGAGGGATGACTTGTAATTGGAAATCAATCTATCCCAATACTGAAATCCTTCCTCTGTCTCAGCTCCGTCTCAAACGCTATTTCTTTCTCTTACTTTCTCTCCAAGTTGCTGTTCTTCCTTTCATTTGATCTTGAAGATTGGGATCGTAACAGTTGGTGACGGATCCTTCAAGTCGACGGAAAAACGACGGCGGCGGCGCAAAGCTGCGGGCGACGGCAGCGCAAAGCCAAGGCGACGGTGGCGGCAGCGTGCGCGTGTGCCACGCGCGCCCATAGGGAGGAAGAAGGAGGCGGCTCGGCCGTGGGCTGGCTGGGCCGGCTCGGCTCTGATGGGCCGACAGCCCAAGGAGGAGAAAAGTGTGGAGGACGGAAGGAATGGGCCAAAAGGAAGGGGGTTTTGGCCCAAAAGAGGAGGAACTTGATTATTTTGTGTAGAGGGTTTTTAAATGGAAATCAAAGGAGATGAAAATCTAAGGGA